AAGGAAATTCTGAAAATAGGCACCGATTGAGCAGATGCTTCTTCCTCCCCACATTCCCTTCTTAGCACTCTCTGCTCTTAATGTTTGTTTAATAAAACCGCATCCCCACCCCCTTTTTACCTCCTGATGGAGTGGATAATGGCACCTACTACCGCAAGGGTTTGGGCATTACCTGGTACTTGGCATCTCTCATTTGTTTCACGTCAGTCTGCTTTGTTAAAGATTACAGGGAGCTGTTTGTTGTAAGTGGATGTAATAAAGAGCTCTTAATTAATCAGCAGAAATAATTAGCAAAAATGTTATGTCATCTTCAGCACCAGAGATGGCTTTCTGTGAATATAAAGGGGGAGGCGGAGAACGGGTTTCAAATATCCCTCAGAATCGCAGTGTGATTTTCACGAAGACCCTGAAGGATCACACTACTCAGAAAGCTGGGCCAACTGTAACCTTGCCCAAATCCGGCAACTTCTAGAAGGTTCCAAGGAAATGAGATGATCTTTGTTTCCCCCTAGAGTGAGAAAAAGGTTTCCATCTTACCTCCCTATGGATATCCCTTATGGTTATCCAAGATTTGGAAAAGTCATGATAGCTTTTAGGCTGCTATGGTTGGTGGAAATATTAGACTTCTTCAAAGAGGTTCTGAGTACTCCTCATGACTTTGTAAGCCAGATTGCCTTCGAGGGCCTTATTTCTGTTGCTTATAAAGTCATGGCTATGCTCTCTCTCTCTCTTTCTCTACCTCTCTGTGTCTGTCTGTCTCTCTTGTGTTCTCTCTCTCTCTCTCTCTCTCTCTCTCTCTCTCTCACACACACACACACACACACACACACAGAGAGAGAGAGAGAGAGAAGCCTCTGATAGTTAGCTGTGACCTTCTACTCTCCAGGACATGAGGAGTCATGCTCTTTTTGACTTAGGGTGCTCAAAATGTCCTAATCTGTGTGAATAGAAGATAATTCTCTGTTCTGTTCCTTATTTTTCTTAGTCATTTAGTACATTTTTTCTCTCTCTTTCTAGCTATTTCCCTTCTTCCTTCCTGACTTCCTACAGTTCAGAGATAAATCAGAAAAGGAATGTTTAGCAAAGAGTTAGATTCAAGAATTTTGGCTGAGTTATTGAAAAAAATCATGTACTTTGAAAATACTGTCTTCATTCACAAGAAAGCTTTCTCTATTGGAAACTGCAGCAACATCACTACATTATAGAATTGGGGAGGGGACAGATATTGAGAAGGCTGACTCTGGAATGCTGAGTTTGAACTCACACTGAGGGACATTTTCTGTTTCATCCGTCATGGGATAAAGATGTATCTAAACAGATAGGTTATTACCCACTTTCAAACTAGCTTAGTTTCTGGCCATGTAGATTTTTCTATTCTATTCTACTCTAATCTATTTTCCCATTGTTAGAAAGTTTCCTGGGAGACACTAAAGTCCTTTTTTTGCTGTGTCCTTTCCCAGCAAACAGCATTTCCTATACATATCCTGCACTGGCTAGTACTGCCTCTTCTGATGATCTTTACGGAACCACCCCTTCCAAATCCTCAAGTAGCTAAATATTTTCAGATCTGCATGAACTGTACACTATAGGAAGTGAAGGAAGCTGAGACACTGCTGCTGGCCTGTCTACCTCACTCTGCTCTCAGTTTATATACAGAGGGAACAGCTCATTTCCCTCCAAAGCACCTTGGCTGGTGCTGTCTGCTTGTTGGTCTTGACAGTATATGAACTGAAGGCAAAAATACACTGCTCATACTTTTGTACCTGAGAGGAAGTAGGTTCCAAGACTATGTGGCTTAGTGAGATAGATTTAGCAGGGGGTTTTCCCTCAGGAGAGGAGTGTTGTCTTTGACTATGATGCTATAATGTCAGAACTATGATGTACCCAGTGGTTTCTCTCTTTCTTGGCATGTCCTTTCTTAGCATGGCCTAGGGACTTAGTACCAACCTCTACCCTGTGGAGGTAAAGAGGTACTTCTTTTTTCAAGGAAGTGCCTATAAAATTCAGAGGCTCCTGCAAGGGGTGGTTTAGGACAAAGGGGGAGATGCTACAAAAAATTGCATTGCCTTAGGGTCAGTGGATTTGTGGCAGTTTACATTCATATATGATGTAAAAAATATTCTGTGGGCTAGGGAGGCAAACATGATGCTTGCTCCCTGGCCCTCACACGTCACAACCAGAGTGGGAGCAGTGCTATTCATTCTGTAAGGGATGTGAAAGATGTCTCCTCTGCAACATATACCCAAGCCACTGCATCTACTAGTACTGCTTCCTGGAATGACTTCTTTGTTGTCAGCTCATCCAAAAAGATGTAAGCAATTTCCAGTTTATAAAACTGTGTTCTAGTCTATACTTTCTATTTGTTTGTGATTCCATGAAACCAGGTGAGATGAATAGTAGTGAGTGTTCTAGGTTAACCACTCACTGATTTTCTCACCCAAAATTTCTTGTCCTTTTTGAGGCATGGTAGATTCCAGCTCAGGTTGGCCTTGAATTTGCTATGCAGCTGAGGATGGCCTTGAACTTCTGGTCCTCTAGCCTTCTGTGTACTAGAATTATAGCCATATACCACAATGCCCAGTTTATGTGGTACTGTGAATGGAATTGAGTGCTTCTTGTATGCGAGGCAAGCACTCTACTCATGAGCCACATTCCTAGACTGTGTAGTGAAATTCTAAAGATTGTTCAGAGGGTCTTATTGTTTTCACCATTCTTCAATGTATTGCTCATATTTTTATTACTAATAAATTGTCCATCTTGGTTAGTTATCACCCCTAAAACCAGGATTTATTTGAGGAGGGATTTGGACTGCATTTTACTAAGTAACCATCACAGAAGGAGTAGACATTAATTTCACATGTATTTCTAGCCATCATCTTCTCTCACCTAGGGACCTTAGGTACATGGAATCCAAGAACTGATTCCAAAAGCCATCATTATAACATAAATATTTTGAAATTTTACCAATATGAGATATGGGGCTTGGCAAATACACTTTGCTATTTTCAACACATTTTAATTTGTATCAGCACAATGATGTTTTTATGCATGTATATAATGATCTTTGATCATATTCAATGACCTATTAGCCTATTTTGTCCTTCATACTCTCTTCTTCCTCCCTACAAATAGCCCAAATAGACAAGTAGTGCATTTTATTTAAACAACTAAAGTATTGTTTTTATGATTACTATTGTGTATGTGTTTGTGAGTATGTGTGAGAGACAGAGGGAAGGAGAGAGACAGAGTCAGGAAGATGACTATGTGTGTGTGGGCATGAGGCTGCTTGTCCAGTTTCTTTTCTCCTTCTGCCTTTATGTACATTCTGGTCACCAGGCATGCATGACGTGTCCATTCCCATGAGCCACCTCATTGGCCTGAATAATACATTCTCAGTGTTACCTTGAATGCTGTAGTCATGTTTGTCATAGCCATGGTCATTGTGTTCAGACAGCAACATGACTGCTCAGATCAGCACTACACAATGCTCCCTCTATCCCTCAGCTTTCCTTAAAATCACAAATCTAAATTAGCTTCCCCAGGCTTCTAACTCTGCAGTGCCATTTGGGTGGGATCTTTCCTAATGTTTCTTTACACTCACACAAATTACAGCTTTTCAACAGGGCTCCTGTGCTTACAATCCTGGAAAATAAATAGGGTTGGATTTCACATTCCTGTTTTCATGCCTCCTGTCTCATTCATGAGAGTATTGAAAATACTGTTCTTTTTTCTGCCAAGCAGCTTCCTTTCTTGACTCTATTCCCTGTCAAATTCCAACTTACACTGCAGCCTCCTTCTTCACTGGTCCTTCTAGATCTTCAGTTCTCATTCTACCTAAAAAAATGTCTTTCAAAATTATACCTTTGTCTTCCAGGACTCCAATATCTCTTAAATCAAATCAAATATGCTTCCATCTGGGAATTTTGATAGCCTCAGAGTATTAAGAAATTGGGAATGAAGCTTCAATCTTGATCATTTGTCATGCATTATAATTTTAACTCCATCCTTGCTTAGCAGGTCTGAGGCAGCAGTTATGTGGGATGGGATGGGTGGAGGATTTTGTGCCTGAAGGGTGTCCCAGTGAACACACTGAGAAGTTTTGTGAAGGCAATGCAGACATCTCCTTGAAATGCTTCCTACCTAGGTCGACAGTTAGCAAATTTATGCCCCCAAAGAATATCATGGAAAATGGCCTGGTACCATCCGGCTACTTAACTGTCCTACATTTTTACATAGATCATTGTACCAGGGCAGACATCCAACTAGTTAGCTCCAATTACCTGTTGGTTGTGAGCTTTACCATGCATCTCCCATGAGGTGTAAGTCTATGTCACTGCTGCACAGAACAGCTCTTCTATGTAACAGTAGTGATGGAAAGTGTCAAGTCCTATGTAATGGTTTCCTTTGTATTTCAAACTTGGAAAGATACAAGCAATTTAATGAGGTTTGACTGAACAGCTTCCTTTGGTGGACATACTTGCAGAAACAACTTTTGTTCACTTTTGGTTAAAACCTACTGAGAAGTTACTTTGCAAACTCATGCCTTTCTGTCTGTTCCCAGATAAGAAACAAAACCCTCATGTAGGAAGAAATGCATGCAATTTTCAGGCTGATGTCAAGTGAGTTCATTGGTCTTGATAGAGTATTTTGTTTCCTTTTCTACATAAAAGTACACATGGGAAATGCTTTGAAACTCTTACTGGTGCATTCACTAAAAATAAGAGAGGAATGGAAAATTAATAAATCCAAGAAGGCTGAAAAGATAGAAAATTTAGAATAAAACAGGAGACTATTCCTTGATTGGAATGTTAATATAGTCTTGAGTGTCTATGTAGGGAAATCAAGGACTTGCCAAATGCACAGAATACTATCATAGCTATTAATGTGTGCTCAACTTTATTGCCTGGGGGATTTTATTAAATACAGTGGCCAAGAAAATGACCTCACTTTTACTTTCTCTCCCTCTGTCTTTTTTTGGGTTCAGTCACATAAATGAATAGAGCTATTTGCTGGTTCATCAATGAAGCGACCTTAGATGATGAAGATGTAAGGAAATCATCCTACGCTAATACGGTTGCAGTTTGAAAGGTAAGGTCTTCCCCATGATACTGGGAGACATCAATCCTCTCCTAAGATCTGTATGACATCATACTCACTGAAACAGATGCAGGGGTCAAACAGTCCATTGACCATTGATGTCATTATCTATCATGTGTTGTATTGGTGAAGGTTTCCTTTATAAACAATGATACAGTCAACAAAAAGATCTGATATTTTCCTTGTTTAGTTTTTAAAAATGCAAAAGCAGCATTTTTTTTTAGTAGACAGGGTTTCACTATGTAGCCTTGTGTCACTATATAACCTTGGCTGGCCTGGAGCTCCCTATATAGATCAGGCTGGCCTCAAATTCACAGATATCTGCCTGCCTCTGCCTCCAAAGTACTGGGTTACAGGTGTGCATCACTATGCCTGACCCTAAAGCAGCATTTTTAATGTTCTCCAGGGTTTCATTTGGTTGCATGTGCCAATGGAAAGATGTCATTTGGGAGGTAGGGGTCATGAGGCTGTGCCCTTGTTGCACTGAGATTAGTTATGCTGACCTATAAAATGTGGTTATCAAGGTCAGCCATTTCTGCATGCTGTATGTTGGTAGAGTACAGAGTATAAAATGTTTCTTTTATGTGTATCTTGTCCTGTGCTTATGATAGGCAAGACTCTCTGATTCCAGGTTCTGTAAACTTAATTACAAACTCATTATCTACCTAAAGCTCTGTCATTTCCATGAATAAATGTTGAGATTATTTCACTTCATTTTTTGAAGGAAAACTATAGATCTCCATGGTGAACCATAGGTCACCATCCATTACTCTACTGGTGTGCTGGGCACAGTGCCTTCACTTGGACCTACGAACCACACAGGGCTGATTGCCACAGGAGGGTTTCGGGGATGAAATGCAGGCCCTGTTTTCTTCAGTCTGTGGAAGCACAGAGGTGGAGCACAGGCAGAAGTGGCGATACTCACTGCCTCCTCCAGGTAGAAGCTGCAATGTTATGCTTACTGCTGAGGGCCTACTGAGCATGTGCAGTATTGCAGAACACAGGAGTGCTTGTACAGAAAGGGATGTCCACTCTGCCCTCCATTCTCCATGGTGCTTGCTCCTGAGCCCTCTGGAGCACAGTGGGCCTCTGAACATAAGCAACAGGTTTTGGCTTCATTGTCAAAGTGGCACTTTCAAAGTGGAATTCCTTTCACATGGGACCTGCGTTGTTTCTTCACAAATTGACAGTGTTTCAGGAGTGGGAAAATAGGTTTCAGTTCTTAGAAGTGTATATGAATCAAGGGGCCTTTGCTTTGTTGTCTCAGCTCAAATCCCTAAAAAGGAGTTTGGGCACCAAACCCTTTAGTCCCATGAGTCTGGGATGTGATATGTTGCTTGTAGTAGCATCATTTTAATTTTAAATATTGTTTGCACTTAAATCTACTTGTCTGAAAGGTATTGTTTCACAAAACTTGAGTGTGCTTCAAATTCATGCTTGCTCTGCCCCTGCAAAAAGGGCCAATTATTTGCACATTAAAAGTAGGCTGGCTTTTATGAAGTATTTACCACAAGATTGCTTTAAGTAACAGTTCTCTTAGTGATTTTCAAATAAGACTTGATTTGAAATAACATTAGTGGTTCCTTTCTGGACTTTTGGACATGTACTTTAAAGTGAGGCAGGTAAAAGTATAGAAATCATGTAATGAAGTTTTAAGTAAGTAATGAATAGAGTGTGTGTGTGTGTGTGTGTGTGTCTGTGTACAGATGGATTCACCATGCTTGCTGCTTGTGTGGAGGCTAGAGGAGGGTGTTGGCAATCTTCTCAGACTCTCTCCACCACCTCAATCTTTAATACAGGGGATCCTCCTGTCTCCATGACCCTATGGCTAAGGTTTCACGGCCCCCGGTGTTTTACATTTGTGCTGGTGATACAAATGCAGGTCTCCATGCTTGAGCAGCTATCCCTTTCCTCACTGAACCATCTCATCAGCCCAGGAATTAACTTTAGGAAATAATTTACTTTTGTGAGGTTTTCCAGAGAAAGCACCAGCACCCCAGACATTACCAGAGTGCACCAGAGGAAAAGGAAGAAAGAAAGGCAGGCCAGTTTGGGTTTGGAAAAGATAAATAAATCTATTTGTTTGGAGGGCTGCATTCTGCATTATGCATGTACGTAAAAGTGAGGTTTGCTTTGATCCTGTCTATTAAAAGTTTATTTTTAAACTCAGACTGGGCAGGAATCCAGCAATGCTCTTTGTCCTGTAACACATCCTGGACTTTGGGTCCCCAGCCTGGCAGAATTGAGGCTAAGCAGGAGGAAGTAGGGAAAGTATGGACAGTTGATGGGTGCTGAGGGGTTTTTTCCCTCCCTTCCTCCCCTCCAGTTTTGAAATTCAAATTGAATGCAATTTTCAGCTCATTTGAGCCAGAATATAGTGTTGCTGAGCTTCAGTGGCTCTTAAATTCAAAACTCACGGGAGGAAACAGATATCATCTGTCACTGGGGTGGGAGAGGAGAGACCACACATTTTATTCACCAGGGCCAGAGTCTCAGTCACTAATTCCAACCTTCGGGGAACTAATCATTCGCCAACTAACTGATCAAGTAATCAATGAGACCTTCAAGCCACCAGCTCATGATGTCTGAGAGTGGATCCTCTCCCTCCTCAGCACCTAACAATAATCGCTCCTCTATTTTTGTACATTAGTATTTTAATAACTTTTCCTTGCAAGCTGAAGCAGAATATCTTGGCAGTCTTTCTCCTCTTCCTCCTCCTCCTTTTTTTTCCTCCTCCTCTTCCTTCTTCTTTACCTCCTCCTCCTTCTTCCTCCTTCTCTTCCTCCTTTTTTTTCCTTCCTCCTCCTCCTTCTGCCCTTCCTGGCTGTTTTCATTGTTTCCATCTTTAGTGACTTCATCAATGACAGTTAGCAGAAGACTTAATGTTGGCTCTTCAGGGACAAACTTTTGAGCTATGTTTTATCAAATAGACTATGGGGAGAAACCTTCTTCTTTCCCAAGGCAAGCCTAAGTGCCAATTAAAAGGGGAAGACCCACTCACGGCATACTGGAGCCTGTGAGTATGGCTTATCTCCAGCATGGATGTTTCAGGAACCCCTGAGAAAGCCTCTCTGTGAATTTCTGACACACTGGATATGTGCCCTGGGAATACAAATGGATTCTAGCGATGATGATTTGACATCCTTCCTCTGATTTCAGAAATGATGCAGGGTGGCGGGTCCTGCTCCTGGTGTGTGTTACAGGCTTTTTGCCCCTGGTGCTTATCCTTGTGCGGTTAGTATGAACCAAGATTTCCAGGGGCCATGGAATCCACTATTATTAGACAAATTTACCATTCCCCCCACAAACTCCATGAGAAAAAAATTATGACAAATTAAATCTCAGTTTGTAGATGTTAAACTTAGACATGCAAAATGTTTGTAGTAAGAATAGTATATGGCAGCATATTTATTTATATAGCTATCGTGTGTGTGTGTGTGTGTGTGTGTGTGTGTGTGTGTGTGTGTGTGCACATGAGCACATGCTATACTGTGCATTCTCAAAGCCTCTGAGCATGAGCCTGCAGGGACTTAAAAATGCTTACTTTCACATTAATTAAAGTGATCAATTTCTTTATTGTCCTAGTGGCAATGCCTTTGGTGTGAAAGCCCAGGGAACAGTCTATTATAACATTTTCTTTCTAAGAAATGGTGCCCAGGCACATCAACCTGTCTGTCTCCAGTGTTGCCTCAGTGCAGCTATTGATGTAAGTTGCAGGAATCTAAACATTCCTGGGAAATTGTGATATATGGGGAGAATTTGGGTTTGGGATTGGTACCCATTCTTGAGAATGTGTCTAATCCCTTGGAATTTCCCACTGGATGAGAGAATCTCTTGATGAACTGATAGTACCCTTGGACCCCTGGACAAGAGCAGCTCTCCAGAAGGACAAAGCTGTGGACAGGGCGTGGAACTTTCAACCCCACTCACAACTCAATAACTTTCCAGAGCCTCAGTGAAGGCATCACAAAAGCTCTGAAACACGAGGTTCAGAAAATACACAGTGGTCCTGGGAGGGCAGGGACCAGTTTGTGGAGCTCTGTGTCCTTCGCATGCATTCTCGATGATCTGCTATTCATGTGTAGCCTTTGTAATATAATTTTCTAATCTAGCACACAGGGGAAAGAACTTCATCTTGTACTGTGAACCCTGCTAGTAGTATATTACCAGAATCAAGAGAACAAGTTCAAACAAGGCTCTCATTTGTAATCAGAAGGAAGTTCTGGATAGCCAACAACTTTGGGTTGGTGTGTTAAGTTCAGATCATTCCTGGGGGACTGAGTCCTAACCTGTGGGCTGTGAGACAATCTCTAGTGTACACATGAGGGGCATTATATAGTAGATGTGTTTTCTATGTGTGATACATACTGTTATGGTTGTGGGCCTGTGTATGTGGCAGGGTATATGGTAAATGTGTTGTCTGTGTGTGATGGGTATGATATATATATGGTGTATGGGTGAGTGTGTGTGTGTGTGTACATGTACACATGTGCATGCATGTGCACACACACACGTGTCAGAGTATATGATAGATGTGTTGTTTGTATGTGATGGGTATGGCACATTTGGTATATGGGTGATATGTATGTGTGCGCATGCACTCCTGTGTGATAGGGTATATGGTAGATGTGTTCTCTGTGTGATGCGTATGGTATATATGGTGTAGGATGATTTGTGTGGTTATTTATCATACTGAGTCAGCACTGCATTAAATTGTGTGGCAGTTAATTACTGATAGCTGGAGAACTGGCATGTGAGTGTGAAGAGTTGAACATGTGGGAAGATGGCAATATTTTGTGTTGAGTGGAAGGTAAGGCAAGATGTTTGAGTATCCTATGTCTACCTACTTTGACAAGGAATTTACATTTCAAGCTAGTTACCAAATTAGTTAATAGAGCTGTTACTTTTCTGTTCAGAAATATCTCTTTCATTATCAAATAGATGCGCTTGCCACACAACAGGCATCCACTGATGGCTTGGGGTGGGTGAAA